TCCGGGTGGTCCGGGAGCTACAGAAGAAGGGGGCGGGGAGAGGACGGATGCAAACTACCGTTAAGTTTTTACTCAGGTTTTGCTTTTGTCCTCTCTCTGCCCTCTCCTTCCGTAACTCCGGGTGGTCCGGGAGCTACAGAAGGAGAGGACGGATTGCCCTCTCCATCCGCGGGTCCTAAGGCTGCGTCGGCCTCGTCCTTTGACAGATTTAGATGTGCACGTAGTTTGCTGCACTGCACGACAATTGGAGCCAAAAAAAGCCTAAGGCCCCAACCCTAAATAACTGCACAGTGCGAGCGAGAGACTTTAAGTCCTCAACCCTAGATGACAAGCGATCCAAATAAACCCAAGTCCTCAACCCTAATAATTTAATAGACAAGCGATCCGACAAACACCTTAAGTCCTCAACCCTAAGTGACAAGGGATCCAAAAATAATTATTAACATAACCCACATGTATATATATATATATACATATACACACACAAACACACGCGTCAGCCCGCCCTGGATGAATCATGCAGTCAGTGATGCGATGAAAATCATGTTGTACTTGCAGGAACTTGGCTCATTGTGTCATTGTGCGTCCTCATGACTGGCTGCTTCGGCCAAGCATGACACGAACAAACACGCATGAAACGGACAGAATCAAAAGCACACGGCAGAACACGCAGACACACACGACGAACTTTCAAACAACACGACAATGCAAAAAAATCTCTGAAGTCTAGAACTTGCTGTTTTGCGCCGCCATGGCGCCGCTTGTGCTAGCAGTGGACTCTGGAGGTGTTTTATCCGACAGATCGTCTCGGAAGTATGACGGCTCAGAGATATACAAACAAACACAGTGGGGAGCGTACGCGACGGTCATGCTGTTCATGGAAATCCACGGTGCCAAGAACATCCACGTGGTTTCCCGCGTGAACAACCCAAACCCAAACCACTGGGTGATCCGGCACGCCGAGGCCTTGGGCATCCCCGTCGAGCAGGTGCATCTGGTACGAGATAGGGCTGACAAACAGGGTGTGTCTGGGGATATATCCGCCACGCACATCATTGATGATAACTCAGATGCCTTATACGCTATGGGGGTCGGGTCTTGGCGCTCTTTGCAGAGGGCGGTGTTGTTTGGTGGACAGAACTACAGAAAACAAGGCCGCTACGACGACTGGCTGCGCGAGAGGATGGTTTGCATGTCCAAATGGACAGACATCGCACGACTGCTGGATCTTCCAATGTTTCAGACCGTTTGGAAGTTTCTGGACGACAATGGCCCTCCCAAGAAGCCCCACGATGCCCGCACAGTAAAAGTTCTGAGGGATATGCTGCTGCAGGCCCAGCACGGCCCAACAAAGACGCCTGCTGGCCCGGCTGTTCCGGCCAAAGAGGTTCCAAACGAGCCTGCTGCGACGGCTGTTTCGGCCGCAAAGCTCCCAAAGACAACGGCTGCTTCGGCCGAAAAGGTTGCAGACGACGATGCTTCGGCGGGTGCTGCTAAGACGACGATGGAAACTCCGCCAAGCGATGATATCTTCTCGCCCTCGACTCCGCTGCCAGACTATTCACCTGAGACCCCGCCACAGTCACAGTGTGACGACAAAAACAAAGCAGTAGAGAAGAGCACGGCTGTTTCGGCCGTAGTAGAGGAGTCATCGGCTGCTTCGGCCGAGAAAGGAAAAAGTAACAATGCGGCACCACCAACGGAGACTCCTCCGGCGAAAGCGGCTGCTCCGGCAGCGCCAAGTCCCACTGCTGAGGCTCCTTCAGCAGTGAGGGAAGCGGCTGATGCGGCAGCGCCTTCGGCTGCTGACGCTCCTGCGGCTGCTCCGGCCGAGACAGCGACGACAGAGGCTGAGGTCGTCGATGTTAGTCGTCTTGACGCCGCTGAGTGGCCTGCCTTGCCCGACAAAGCTCCAAAGGCCAAAGCTGCGCCCAAAGCACCTGCTGTGGCCAAAGGCTCTGTGGCTTGTGAGCAGGACCGCCGTGCGGCTAAGGTTAAGGCTAAGGAAAAAACAGGCACGGCAGACTCGTCGTCTTACGAATACTATTCGTCGGACGACTCGTCAAGTGACACCAGCAGCTCTCAGGGCGACACGTTCGTTTTGGTGCCAGGACCAGGAAGCCGCAAGAAACAAGAGCTAGGCCAGAAGCAGGCCAAGCGAGCTTCTTCGCGGCCGCTCGCCGGCTCGGCTAAAAAGAAGTCGGCTGCTTCGGCCGAGGATAGTCGTCCCAGCCAAAAACGGCCGCGGCTGGTCCTGACGGCGAACCCGAATGTCGCGAAGGAAACTGCAGCTGGTCAAAAAACGGTGGAAAAAAGCCGAAGACAGTCGGAGGAAGCCCGTGCCAGAAACAAGGCAGAGGCTGAAGCACCGGTTACGAGGGCGGAGTTTCAAGAAGCTTTCCGGGACATGAAAAACTTTGTCCAAGAACAGGTGGCCGCAGCCTCTGCCACTGCGGCCGCGGCAGCTTCCAGCGACGACCCGGCTCGCCGCCCAGCGCCAGTCAGCTGGCAAGGACGCAGTGCTAACAGTGAATGGATGCGCAAGAAGCAACTAAGAGCGGAACGGCACAAAGAGGCTGCTGAAGCTGGTATAGCCCAGCCGGAGCGTGTCTTGGCCACAGTAATGTGCGCTAAGTGCGGGAAGCACCAGCCAGGTGCCTTCTGCAGGCTTCGTTGTTGCAAGAACTGTTGCCAGGCGCGCAGCTTCAAGGAGTGGCGCGAAGCGCCCTGCCAACAGCACCAGTGGTGACGAAGCTTGCATGAGAGAGGAAAAGTTGGGTTCGCAGTTTTCGCCTGGCTTTAGAGGATAAGGGCTTAGTTGCTAAGGGTGTGGTCGTAGATTATTGAGGGCAGCAAAGCCAGCCAGATAAATCATAATCCAGGGCAGCTGGATTCAGGGTGTAAAACCGTTTCTTTTTTTTAGTGCTTCTAAACCCTCAAGCTATACCCCAAAAAGCCCAGAAACCTCAATCGAGCCTTAATAAATCCTTCTTTTGCTTCTGGCTCAAACGCAGCACTTTGCGGCTGAAGTGACAGGCCAGGCAGTGGCCGACACGGCAAGGCTTCGCGTTTTCGCCCCTAAAGTTGGCTGAGTCGGCCATGCCTCCCAAGAAGGCCAAACAAAAAGCGAAGGCCAAGGCTGCTTCGGCCGGGCCTGGAGAGAATGACTTCATGATTGACAACGGTGAGGGCAGTGAATGCAATGACCAGCTTTTGCGCATTCACGAAGCTTTGAAGACAATCAGAGATCACGATGTCTTCAAAGACATCGACGCTGCGAAGCCGCTGACGGTCAGTCAGGGAGCTTCGCAGTCTCCGTACGACAAAGCACAAGCGCAAGCGGCCCTGGGCAACAACAGTTGCTACAGTTGCGGCGGCAACTTTTTCTGGGCTGACCAGATATGGTTGCCGAACCACCGTGTCCCGATCAACTCGGGGCAAATTCTTGCGCTACAGACACGGTTCTTACCTCCAATGGAGCCTCCAGCTACCTTCCCCTTCACAGTCACCGTGGCTCTGGACTCGGCGAACGACGAGGTGTTGGATGGTAAAGCCTTCCAGCGGCTCAGCCCCTGCGAGCCCTGTCATGCGATGCTCTTCAGCATTCAGGAGGCAATCAATGGCAGCGCCGACGCAGCTGTCTTGCAGAGCTGGAGGAAACTCCTGTTGACTACGCAGTTCCGCTTGGAGCTGGTCCCAATGGGAGAAGCCAGGTACTGGAGGGCGGCGAACCTGCGCGAGGACATTGTCGAAAAGGGTGTCATGGTCACGATGTCAGCGCGCCAACGCATTTATGACGTCGTAGGCTTCAAAAAGGCAAAGGAAAAAGCTTTGGGAGCCGCGCTCACGTCGCAGCAGGTTGCAGACGCCTACACAGCTCGCCTGAAGCTGTCCTCCCAAGCAGAGAAAATCACGAAATCCTTCGTCGATGCAGCGATTCAAGTGCACGACAAAGTCTTCAAGACTGAGAGGAGTCGCGTCATGTTGGCTTGGTGCGACAGACACTTCTTGTCCAAGAACCCTTGGGACTCAGTCTACCTGATGCAAGATCTGGCGGTGCGAGCGCAGACCCCGGACATCATCGCGGAATGCTTGCACGGCCTTGTCGATGGCTTCAGGATGGGATTCTTGAAGAAGGGCACCTTTGTCAGCAGCGTTTTGCGAGACCCACGCCAAAGCCACTTGTCAAATAGTGTTAGCATTTTCCAAAGGGTTTTCCGTCTTGTCATGCTCTTAATGTCTTGAGTCTGGTGAAATATGTCTTCTTATAATAAAATACAATATAAAACTATCAGGTTACATCGAAGTCTTGAAGCTGAAGCTGAAACTCAGAGAAGCGCTCCTCACTGACTGGCTGGATTCGACGTCTATGCCGCACAGCTGGAAGCAGAAGCTGCGTGAGTCTTTCAGCTCCTTTGATGCCGTTCGTGAGAGGTACTCGTCGTACCCAGACGAGGACCAGGCTGCTTCGGCCTGGGTGTTGGGGGCCCCCGAGTCTGTCAGTCTGACAGCAGACTTGCTGGATCAGCTGATCTACAGAGAGAATTTCGATGGTCGTTTCAGGGACGCCGTGAAAACGCACCATGAGACAGCTGACTTCTTGGACTACCCCAGTGTGAAGTCCAAGATTAAAGAGGTCGAAGACGCGCTGCGGAAAGAAACGAAACCGAATGTGGCTGATCCGGCCACAGACGCTGCCAGCACCGGCACAACAGCTGCTACGGCTGCAACTCAGCCAAGCAAGGAGGCCACAGGCAAAACTGATGCCAACGCCACAGACTTTCAACTGCTCTCGGCTTCGGAGCAGGACGAATGGCGGGCCTTCATGCTGAAGCAGCTGCGGTCGAGTGTTCGCTTTATCCCAGACAGCGGAAGCGCAAATCAGCTCGAGCAGAGCCTGAAAGACAACCCCTACGCGGTTTTGCATGGAGACCCCCTGGGCACAGTCCTCTTGCATTTTGATGTTAAAAAAAGCGGCGAAGCTGCTACCCGACCCGACCTTCGGAAAACACCGCTTCGAGAGGCTCCCTACTGCCGCGCTGTGCGTGCTGTTCTGGATGCTCGCAGCAAAAATCCTGGACAGACCGGAACCTTGAACTCTGCAGAGATTGCCGTTGTTCTGGACGGCGGTCGGCCCGGCAATCGCAAGAAGCTTCTCCAGCCTTGGAAGGTGGGGACAAGACTGGAGATTGAAGCGAAAAAAAAAGACGACAAAGACGATGAAGATGAAGACGACGAAGCGGCTGCTGCGGCCGAAGAGGACGACGACGAGGAAAACCAGAAGCCAGGACTGGTGATCGAGCCCCTGATGATCGGGTACAAGGAAAAAAGCCTTGCAGACAGGCGCAAGAAATGCCGGGGCACAGCTACGCTGAAACAGCTGGAGACGTGCTACGTCATGTCCGCCAACCGCCTCAACTTGCCATCGCGAGATCGGAAACATTACGACGGCACCACCAACGGCGACACACTGTTTGGGGTAGTAGCTCCAGCACTTGAAAACGAGTGGCATCTCCCCTGGCAGGAGAAAAAGCAGTTGTACGGCAAGAAAAACATCCACCAGGTGGGAGGGAAAACAGAAGGGGCAGATGAGAAGCTGTACTCCGACCGGACCGCAAACGAAAAAGAGCCGGTCGCGTTCTGGTCCATGCCAGAAGCTTTTTACGAAGAGTTGCTGCACAACTTTTACAGCAAGCTAGTGATAGACTTGAGCCCCCTTGACGGGAGATTCGCTTGGGTTTGTTTGAAGCAGCGGGTCGGATATGTGGGGGTGTGTTTCAATGCCGATCACGTGTCTTTCCTGGAAGAAAGACTCCTAAGTCTTATGGAAGCGGCAATGAAGGATTCGTCCAGTCCTCTGTTCAACAACTCGTACGCAGAGAAGGTGGGCGCAACGCCAAAAGCCAAAGCAACTCCCAAACCGACGCCGAAGGGAGGGACGACGAAGCCGAAGACACAGACGAAGGGAAAGCCCAAGCCGAAGAAGCCCAAGAACGACGGCGACAACGGTGAAGGGACGGACGGCAACCCTGCGCCTCCGAAGAAGCCTCGCAAATCCAAGGGTGACGAAGACGATGAAGTTGTCAACCTCATGGAGGACCCTGAGGAAGAGGATGAGGAGGAAGGTGGAGATGATGTCTGGGATCCTCTCAGCTGAGACGACGTAGTCACAAGCTACGCCTTTTTGACGCTGGTATGGCTGTTTCGGCCTCGCTTCGTCGGTAGCTGCTTCGGCCAAAAGCCGATCACGTACAGCTGCTTCGGTCAAGACTTCGCCTCGGATGGCTGCTTCGGCCAAAAACCGACGGGCTTTTAAGCTAGTGCTGCACTGCTGTTTGGACTTACTTTGCCGCCTGCAGAGCAAAAAAATGTTAATGCCCCTGCACGTCGTGCACGGTTGATCTCATCTAAACATGTCAGGCGCTGCAGTATTAATGTTTTTTTCGGTCTTGCCGGCTGTATGCGCATGAACCTGAAGCACCTGGTCTAAAAAGCTTGAGACGCTGAGTTGTAGCAAACAGGTATTCTCTCGCCATGGCATCCATCGACACTGACACTGCAGCGCAAATAGAAGAGCTCAGACAGCTACTGCGGGAAGATCGCGCCAACATGTACTTCGTGGTTGCTATGGTCCTCGACTCCAAGTACTGTCTGTCATGTGCTATGACTTTCGTGGCTGATTTCCTGACTCCAGAAGAATATGCCAAAACTTTTCAAATTTGCAAGGACTGCAGATGCGAATGCATTGAAGGCCATCAGCAGATGTCTTAGACCGGAAGATGCTAAATAATTAAATGTCCGCGCTCCAGATCCAGATGTGATTGTGGTTCGCCCAGCTTTTCTGAGGCTGCTTCGGCCTACCGCTGTGGATTAGCCTGAGCGTGCTATGTGATGCTGCATCTCCAATTTGAATAAGTTAATTAAGATCCTCGTCGACAGGGCGTTGCATTCTCGTCGAGGACACAAAAAGTTATTTCCTGCCATCAGAAACGAAAGTATCTTACGCAGATCAAACACGTCTGATTGCTTAGTAGGGCATGGACAGGTTGACGGGCTCAGGTTATTATACGAGATCCGTGCAAGATCGAGGATCGAGGTTGGCGTTTAGGAATGGTTATAAGGCTTAAAAACGAGTTGTGTTCGCTGTACCCAATGGCATGCTTGCTAATAATTCTAGGCTTTAAAACTCCTGCTGTAGCTTACGTGTATGGGGTGTTTGTCATGCCCTACTACAAGTTGAACGTACCACACGGGGTCGAGGCTAAATGGGCTTGCGTTGTAATGCGTCGCAATAAAATGAGACTTTGTTCAACAAGGGACAAAAAGTTATTTGAAATACTCGTCGAACCATCACAAAGTTATTTGCGATGCTCGTCCGACGACCAATCTCGAGTAAAAGGGTACAAAACTTCCAATGTCTTCCAAACCACACAGGAAAAACTACTAAACTACAGCTAAGCAAAAGTAAGTCGGCCAGC